AAAAAAAAAAAAAAAAAAAGCATAGAGCACATGCAGGGTCCTTACAGAGCCTAGAAGAGTGTCCAGGTGGTGCAGCTGAAGTTCCAGGACTACACTCGTGGTGGCGCTCACAACTCATGCCAGCCAGGCACATCAGCCACCAAGCGTCCGAGACGGGAAGCTGGGAGAGAAGACTGCCATCTGCTGAGAGAGTGCTGGGCTTGCAAGTCTGAGCTACCACCGCCAACTCGCTTTTTTTTTGTACTGGGGTTGGAACTCAGGGCCTACACCTTGAGCCACTCCACCAGCCCTTTTTTTATGAAGGGTTTTTTCAAGATAGGGTCTCACAAACTATTTTTCCCAGGCTGGCTTTGAATCACGATCCTCCTGATCTCTGCCTTCTGAGTAGCTAGGATTACAGGCGTGAACCTCCAGTGCCTGGCTCCCAGCTCACTTTTAAAATTATTTGTAGCAGTGGCACAAATATGAAGTGACTCAAATGCTCATTAAGTGATGAATGTATTAAGAAAATGTGGTGTACTCCTACAATGGAATATCATCTCACCATACTAGAAAGGAAATACGTGAAACACACTACCAGGCAGATAACCTTTGAAAACATGATGCTAAGGGCTGGGGGAGTGGCTCAACTGGTAGAGCACATGCCTAGCAAGTGTGAGGCCCTGAGTTCAAATCCCCAGTACCACCAAAAAAAAGAAAAGAGAGAGAGAGAAATGATGCTAGGTGAAAGAGTCCAGACACAAAAGGCCACATATTGCATGAGTTCATCTATGTGAAGTGTCTGGAATAAGCAAACTCATACAGACAGTAGGTTAGTAGTTGCCAGGGTGGGGGCTGAGGGGAGACTGGTGATAGGTACCAGTTTTCTTTTTTTCTAGGGGGCGGTTTGAACCCAGGGCTTGACTCTTATTAGACTGCCAATTTATTCCTTGAGCCCCATCTCCAGCCCCCAGTTTTCTTGTTTGGATGATGAACTACCTCTTGCTGAGTAGCTAAGATCTGATTTTATTAATTGATTGATTGATTGATTCTGCCTCCTGGGTGCTGGAATTGCAGGTGTATACCACTACACAGGCTTCAGTGCTGGGGTTTGAACTCAGAACCTTACACTTACTAGACAGGCCCTCTGCCACTTGGATCACACCCCCAGCCTTTTTTGCCTTAATTGTTTTTCAGGTAGGGTCTTATGTTTTTGCCCAGGGCTGGCCTCAGACCTGGATCCCCTTACCTAAAACCTCCTAAGTAGATGGGATCACAGGCTTGAAACACTGCTTCCAGCTTTATGGATTGAGATTTGGTCTTGCTAAGTCTTTGCCTGGGCTGGCCTCAAACTGCGATTCTCCCCATCCCTGCCTCCTTAGTAGCTGGGGTTATAGACACGAGCCACAACACGTAGCTTAAAGGGTTTTTGTTTTTGTTTTTGTGATGCTAAGGGATTGAACCCAGGGCCTTGTGTGTGCTAGACAAGCAGTTTACCATTAGGCCCTATCCCTAGCCCTCCAATGACTGGTATCTTTGTAAGAGAAAAGGAGCAGGAGATGGAGACACATCCAGACCAGGGAAGGAAAGTGTGTGACCACAGAGGCAGAAACTGCAGGGAGACAGTGACAATCCAAGGATTGTGGGCAGACAGGAGAAGCTGGAAGAGACAAGGAACACAGGGCCAGCTGACACCCTGATTTTAGACTTCTGGCCTTCAGAACTGTGAGAGAATACATTTCTGTTGCTTAAAGCCTCCTTGTTTGTGGTGACTCAGAAGAGCAGATGCAGGAAAGTCACAATTGTACTTAGAATGGTCTGTGCACCAAACACATCAGAGGGTTGTGTCGCAATTTGCCACAAGTGGGGGGATGTGGTCGGGGTGATAGGACCTAAAGACTGTGCTTTCGATTTATGCTTTGTAAATCTGTCTTCTGTTTGAAATGTTTACAGGGTGGAGTTTTCCTGCAAAATGATGGCATCATCTCTTCCAACTGCCAACACTTCCCATCAAAATTAAGGAAAGTCCCTTTTAGACACTGCAAAAGCCACAAAAGCTGTTGTGGAGATCAAGACTTCTGACCATTTCCGAGAACACAGCTGCCAGCCATCAGAGGACAAGAGCTGAGGAGACGCCAGGTCCCAGAGGCCCCACAGGCATCTGGTGCTCTGTCTCTGTCACACACATACATTTGGCATCATCCTTCCTGGCCTGGGTCCCTCCTCCCACCTTCACCACCTGCATCCCCCACCCATAAGGACCCATGTCCCCTTTCAGTCACAGACCCCACCATCCCTTTTCTCCACCCACCCCGGCCTTGACCTGAAATAGTTTTTATATTTTGCCTTTGATTTTCTTTCTTCTCTGTTCAGGCTTACAAGTGATCACTGCCAGAGTCTAGCTTTCTAGAAAACCATGCAGCCCAGGCTGTAGGTTGAGCCTGCCCTTGCTCTATGAGGTGGTTTACCCTACAATGCCTGTGAGCCCCCTCCTCTGCTTGTGCCTGTCCTGAGCACAGGGGCCCTGGACCCCAAAACACTGGGCTCAGTGTCCCCTATTACAGTTGGGACAGGGAGAGGACCAGAGGGCACCTCACCTGGGAGAAACTGAATACACGGACGTACAGTGGCCAGACCACAAGAGAACCATGGCCTGCAGTTTCTGGACATCAAGCCACAAGTTTAGCAGCAGTTTCCCCAGAATGGTCAGCGCTTGCTCAGCCTCCCTATTTTTTTTTTCTCCCGTTTCCAACTCAGAACCAACCAGAAAGCAGAAACCAAAGCCTACCACATCCCAGGCTGGCTCCTTGTGAGCCACCCTGATTCCACAGCCTGTCTTGGGGCTCATCTTAGCTGCCCATGTTCACTAGAGAGCTGTCCCCTCCTTTGCCTGCCTTTGAGTCTCTGCAGAAGCCAGGCGCTGGTGGGCAATCCTCTGACTCCAGCAAATTCTGGATGAATGGCCATGCTGAGTTTCACTCCAGTGCTCTTGTGTATCGCACACCCAGTAGGCCGGACAGTTGTTCAACCTGAGGTGTTTTCCAGACAGAAGGAAAAGGCTGGGTTTTAAGATTTAGTACATGTCAGCTAGGTGGTGGCTAGAGTGGGATGCTGTGGTCAGGCAAATGAGCAGAACTAGAGAGGGTTGAGCAGATCGGGGTTGGAGGTGTCTGGTCTGGCAGGCCCCAATGGACTAGCCCTGTCCATCTGGAGAACGCTGGATTAACTAATCCCAGGGTCAGTCTCCACCTGTGCAGAGATAGCAGCAGTCAGAGGTCCTTGCTGTACCACCCAACAGGAACAGGAGTGCAGCACTTCTGCTCTGACTGTGTTTACTAGTGCCTGAGTTCACTGAGATAGAATGCACTTGTGAGCATTTTATAGGCAGGCAGCAAGGATCGGGACCTAAGGTGGGTGGAGTCTCTACTGCATGCACTGCATGCACCCCCACTTGCAGCGCCTTTGGAGTCCCCGCTGCCCTGGGTTCTATACTGCAGGGGCCATGGGACTCACTGGCCAAAGCCCTGAAGGACAGTCTGCTTCCAAGGGAGGGAAGGGACCAAGGCTAGGCTGTCCTGGGCAACAACTACTCCCTAACTCCTTGTGCTGCCTCCCCTAGCAGAGGCACAAACAAGGCCTGGGTTTCAGGTGGCTCCTTCCTATCTCAGGTCTTCATCCTCTCAGTACCTCTGCAGTCACTCTTGAGACTATAAGCCAGGGAGGGGGAGAACTGATCCAGTGCATGGCCACCCACAGAACTGTCCTTCAGGCCCTGTAGGGAGACTCAGGACTTCTTGGCTTCCCAGGGGCCCATGGCCAGAGCTCCCACTGCCCCTCTCAGGGCAAGGGCAGCAGGCAGGGGAAGTCTTAGGAAACCTACTTGGTTATCAGCGGTTGTTTTTCCAGACCGATGGGGCCACGGCTGTGAGGCCCCAAGAGAGAGTCCAGCTGTTCTGATGGCCCAGGTCAGGCAGCTCTGGGGAAGGGCCAGGTGAGGACTGGTGGGGAAGGGGTCCTGTGGTTGTCAGGTTGCAGCCAAGTCTCAAAGGGCCCAGAATCCTGGAATTCACAGCCTACTTCTAGAAAAGGCCACGCACACGGTAAGTGTTCATTGTATGTTTAATGATTTTTTCTTGTTGAAAAGTTTATCTTGTTCATATAAACTCTGAAATGTATGCAGTGCGTTGCTGCACGTATTCAGGTGAAGGCAGCCTGCCCCTCTGCCAGTGCCTGGACAGGAGTCATGTCATTTCATTTTGTTCTGGTTCCTCTTCTCCTAGAAGAAAGCGGTGGGGTCAATAGGGCCTGGAGAGAAAGCCTAGGAACGGAGCAGGATGCCGAGGGGTCTCAGAACCATGGAGGGGCCCCACTCTTTCCCCGGCCCTTCCCAGAGCCGTGGCAGCCTTTCCCAGGGCCTCTCCTTACTCTTGCAAACGGTGACCCACAGTGCCACCCCTGCCCAGGCCCTGCTCAGGTGCCACCTGGTGAGAGACTGCCAGTCCTGACCTGTTTCACTACATAATAGGTGATGCCACCGATGACAATGACAACCACCAAGCCCGCAATAAGCCATGCCACAGGTCCAGAAAACAACACGCTCACTGAGACTGAGGACACGACCTGGAGGGAAGAAGAATGGGCCAGGTGACTCCAGTGACCCCAGGCCCATCCCACAGATGGGAACCATGAAAGGTCTACAGGCCTAGGTCTCGTAGAATACTGGATCAGAATCCAGAGAAAAATAAAATGACCCTAGAGATGGCCTGGTCCCACCCAGCTCCATGGGAGGAACAGACTCCCAGAAAGACCCCAACAGCCCCTCCCTCTTCAGGGACCAGATGGTGGTCCCAGGGCGGTGGCTTAGCTTCTTTGAGTCTAGCCTCCTACAGATCCTGGAGACCAACCCTCCACCCCTGCTCTGGCCGGAACCAGTTGGCTGTGACTGAGGATACCCTATCTCAGATGTCCTGGGGTCTCAGCTCAGAGGGAAGCAGCAGAGTCCACCCCCAACCCCCATAGGCCACAAGGGTGTTTAGTCATCCTGGGCCCACTCAGCCAGCTAGGGAGATGACCACTCTTGTGCATGGGTGTGGGGCATGGCCCTGCAGGCTGCTGAGAGGGCCTTTGATTCTCACCAATGAAACTGAAATAGACACTGGCTCTGTCATCTTCTACACAGGAAGGAACTCAGCCCTGCAGGAAGGAAAGCGTATGTCATCTTCCACCTTCATACTGGCTCCTTTGGGGCTCTGGATATCCAGCTCATGGCGGGTCACAACCTGCCACCCTTCTCAGCACCCACGCCGCCCACACACCTCCAAGGGCCACTTAAGAAGAGACAGAGTAGACTGCCAGGAGCCCATGGGCTGCCTCAGGTTGCTCTCCACATGTCTTTGGAGCACAGGGGTTGCCCTCTAGGTTGCTCAAAAGTCCCTCAGGATCAAGTTTCAGTGCCACTGCCTCCCATGGGCCCCCAGCCTCACCCAGGCCCCTTCTCAGCCCCAGAGCCTCCTCTTCCCAGCCACCCTGGAAGTGCACAAGGGTGGTCACCAATCTGCTCTTTGCCTGTCCCGCCCTAAATAACCTTGCTCTCTGCTCCAACTGTGACTTCCTGCTGGGTTGACATGGGAAGCAGCTGCAGAACGTTGGCACAGAGTCACCAGGAGTTTCCAGCTGCCAGTGAGCAGGTCAGAGGCCAACTCAGCTCATGCTCCATTCCGGCTACAGCCCTGGCCCACTACTCTCCCTGCAGCCCATGGGATGGTGACCACTTTCTTGGTGTCAGCCCCTGTGGCCTCCTCACCTCCTGGTGTCTCCTCCCCTGACTCTCCTTGGAAGCAGTCTGTCCTCTGGGAGGGCTGCCCTTTGCTCATCCCTCATGGCTCCTCCTCAGTCCCCCAGCTTCCCCCACACTGAGCACCCCAGAACTGGCCCCTGACCCCTCTCCTCTGTTCTCTGGATCCTCAGAGAATATTCTCTGCCACTCCCTCTCTGTCTCCAGCTGATTTTCTGCGCTGCCCGGGCTTCTGACCCCTCCCTCCCCCACCAATGCTCCCTCAGAACCCCAGGCATCCATGGGTTCTGATGGGGGCTGTCATTGGGCAGGGGCAGTGAGGCAGGGGGCGGGGCCACCAAGAGGTATGTATGGGACAGCCAAGCTTTCAACAGTCTCTCTGCCCCTCCCCTCCCAGTACCCTTTTTCAGCAGCCCAAATCTCATGACACCCTGTGGCCTTACCTGCTCTTACCCTGTGGCTCCTGTGATTCTTACCTACTTCACCTGGATCACTCCTTTGCTGAGAAGCCCCTCCAGCCTGCACATCCCTCCCCAGACCAATGCCCTGTCCCCTCTGGACAATGAGCCATCTGTAAGATCCCCACACTGGGGAGACAGTCCTCCCTTCCTGACAGCTTCCCCACCCTCACCTTGACAGGAGGTGAGTTCTGATCAGTTGCAAAGGGTTCTCAGTCTGGTGCCAGGGGCCAGAAATGCAACTGGAGTGGCTGCCTCTACCCCACCCATTTCCCTCTTCTGCAGATAGTTTCTCTGAAGACACGTGACATGGCTCAGCTCTGAGTTTACTTGATTCATTTAGCTCATTTGAATAAAGTTGAGTTCTGAAACAAAAGCGGTTCAACTGCTCCTGGCTTCTCAGTAAAGGACCCCTCTCGGAACCTCTTGGAGGCTGAGGCAGAGAACTACAGGCAGAAGGACACAGATGAAGGCCCAGAGCCTGGGGCAGTGCCAGGTGTGGTGGACTGTGAGCTCCAAGACCCCCATTTGTTACCACCCAGAGCAGGTTTAAGAGGTCCTCGAGCTTGCTGTGTAAACAGCCCCCACCATGGGCCCTGCAGCCAGCCTATTTGTGTAATCCCCGGGCTTCCCTTTGGCCAGAAGAGCATGCCACTTGGTTCTCACAACTGGGATTGAACAGTCCTGGAACGCTTCCTGGAGGAGGTGGGACTTGATCCTGGGAAGGCAGTGGCTGAGGCACATTTTGCTTTAAGGTCCTAGGGGACTACCAGTGTGAGGCCAGAGTCTGGTTCCCCAGGGGGTCCAGGGCAGGAGTTCCCACTGCCCCTTACAAATCCAAGTTAGCAGGAAGGGTAAGCCTCAGGGAACCCATCAGGCTAGATGTTCAAGGAGGCCCAGGAACAGGATTGGGCCAGAACATCAGAGCCCCATTTGGCCTTGGAGAGGCCACAGTGTGAGACTGGGTAGGCCATAGAGGGAACCTGCCAGGCAAGGTTCCAAAGAAGTTGCCCCTGAGCTCCCTCCCCTACTGCTCACTTGACTCCAGTCCTGGGAGGTCTCTTCAGGGCCTCTCACCTGCAGCGCCGGGCCAGGTGCAGTCACTTCCACTCCTGCACTGTGCCCAGAGCCTGGCCTGGTGCTGGCTACACTGCCTGATGTGCAGTACCACACTGCCCTTGGCAGTTTTCTCCCAGCCTGTGTGCGGGGGCTGCCTCCCCGCTGGAGCAATATGTAGAGCTGGGTGAGTGGGGTGGAGGGATGGCAGTGTGGACCTTACTGACACATCGCAGGAGGGAGTTTGTGTACTGGGACCATAGCTGGGACTGGGGACAACACAAGGAAAACCTCCCCACAGCGAGCTAAGCCCGCTGATTCCTAATCCTGAAAGTGAGGCTGTTCGGGGCAGGGCAGGACGTGTGCCAAGTGTCCTTGCTTAGGGGAAGCCAGCTTAACAAGACCCTGACTCATGAGCCAAGGTCGTAAGAGGGTTCAACATTGGTGAGGTGACATGCGGGCTGGGCTGTTGCTGAGCTTAAGCAGGAAGTGGTTGGAGCCCTGGAGACTGAACTAGCATCAGGACATCCCTTCTCATCCCCTTCTCTAGGTACCCGGCTCTGAGAAGAAGGCAGCCTGCCGGCCAGGGGACACTGGAGAGGAGGTCCCCTCCAATGCATGCTTCTTTCATAACCAAGTCACCTCCTTTCCTACAAACAGGCATACAGGTTCCTCCAATTTTTGTCCATGTCACAAAGCCTTTGCAGAGTGGGTCTGAGGCTCTCCATTGACTCTTAGGGCGCTTCACTGAAATTTTCTAATTTTTAATTTTTAGGCATGAGATTTTGGCTGGTAAATCTTTGACTTATTTTTCAGTGTTTTAAAAAGTCTTTAAAAATGAAAGGCTGGTGGAGTGGCTCAAGTGGTAGAGTGCCTGCCTTGCAAACATGAGGCCCTGAGTTCAAGACCAGTCTGGCCTGCATAGCTATACCATGTCTCCAAAAAAGCAAAGAAAGTTAAAAAGCTCTGTAAAACCCCAAATCCCAGAGAACATTCAGCAGCAGAGCAGAAAGGGGAGGGGCCAGCAAGGGCCATCCAGTAGGCATTTGGCACAAAGGCTAGGAGCCACTGAAGGAGGCAGTCTCTTTCCCTTGACATCAAATTATCTTTCAGAGTGTCCTGAGCCCAGGGACAGGGGCATCTTCCAGGGCTCAGATCCCAGGTGTCTTTGGGTGCCTGATAAGGTGCAGGTGTGGGATGCAGCTTGGGCAAATGCTTTGCCTGTTGTGTGCCCCACACACCTGTGCTGTAGCCAGCCTGGTCTTGACCAGTTGGTTATGTCCAGTGACCTGGGCACACAGGAGGGGCCAGGATGCTGGAAGGCCTCCTGGGGACCTGACCTGCTGCCAGTGGAAGGGCCTAGAGGTAGCTGGAGTCTTCAGGTGAAAGGTAATCTTAGAAGTCCTCACAGGTAGCCTCTGTTGTGGGGACTGGCCTTCCTGCCAGAGTCCAGCCATCCTCAGGGCATGGCTTGAATGCTTTTCCAGAACTCCTCCTCCCCAGGCGCTGAACACACCCTCCGTAGCTCCTGTCCTGATTGTGATTATCTACTTCTTTGTGACATGCTTATGGCCAGGAAACTAAGTAGAAATTAGTGTGGTTCCCCTCACCCTTACCCCAGGGGTCCAGCAGCAGTGTGTCTGCTTCTTCCTGGACCTGAGGCTGGGCTGGGCTGGGAGAGGAACCCTTCTACCAGGTGTCCTGAGTGCTGCAGCAGCCAGGGAGAAGCCACGCAGGTAGATGGCACAGGATACTGTTACAGAGTAGAGGAAAAGAATCTCCAAACAGGCCCAGCTCTGGAAGGTTCTATTATGGAGTTTCGGTGTTATCTTAAAGGTTTGGAGGTGAATTGCAAGCATTTCAGAAGTTTGATTTGTTTTCTCTTTTGATGGTATTGGGTTTGCAGGTGCTCTACCACTTGAGCCACTCCACCAGACCTTTTTTGTGTTGGATATTTTTGAGATAGGGTCTCATGAACTATTTGTACCTGCTAGCTTCCAACAGAAATCCTCCTGATCTCTGCCTCCTGAGTAGCTAGGATTACGGGCGTGAGTGACTGGCACCTAGCCAGAAATTCACATTTAAGAAACATCACTGTGATATGACAGACACTAAAATGTTAACAGTGGTTGTCTCTGGGGGCGTGGAACTGTCTCCTTGTTTTCTTTTTGTGGAGGCCAGATGGCTGAGATGAAGTTGTGGGTAAGAACGCATTCCTCTGGCTCCAGGGGAGGGCCCTTCCTTCCTCTTCTAGCATCTGGTGGCTTCTGGTTGCCTTGCCTGTGCATCACTCCATCTTTGTCTCTATCTTCCCATGGCCTTCTTCCCTTATATGATTCTCTATCCCTTCCTCTTTTTTATTTGTTGTTATTGCACTGGGGTTTGAATTCAGAGCCTTTGCTTACTAGGCAAGTGTTCTACTATTTGAGCCTTGTCCCCCAGCCTTCCTTGTCTTATGACACTAGCCATACGTGCATTTAGTGCACACCCAAAATTCATGGCGATGTCATCTCCAGATCCTTACTTGTATCTGCAAAGTCCCTTAATCCAAAACAGACTTCATGTCTGGGTGGACATGAAGTTTTGGGTTCCACTGTTAAAACCATTACACTATATGACACAAATAAAGTTTCAAGGGAGCCGGGTGCCAGTGGTTCACACCTATAATCCTAGCCTAAGAGGCAGAGATCTGGAGGATCGCAGTTTGAAGCCAGCCTGGGCAAAGTTCATGAGACCCTATCTCAAAAAAACCCATTACAAAATAGGGCTGGTGGAGCAGCTCAAGGTGTAGTTCCTGATTTCAAATCCCAGTTACCCTGCCCCCCAAAGAAGTTACAATGGAAAATTAGAAAATCATCTTGGAGGCCAGGTAAGGCAGGAGTAGAAGCTGTCACCTCTGTCCACGCAAGGGTGTGGGCAGTGGCAGCTGAGAGAGAGACACCAGAAGGGAGAGGCTGAAGAGTGTCTGCCTGGCCCTCTGGCCTGGGTGATGGTATGATCTATCCCGATGGGAATGACAGGAACATGCTGGGGCGTGTTGTCACCTTACATTTTGGATGTGTTGCAATCATTATCAGGAGGACCCTGTGAAAAATAAGGCTACGATCTGTTTTTCAAAGTTTAGTTTTCCTTTTTTTGGTGGGACTGGAGTTTGAACTCAGGGCTTTGTGCTTGCAAAGCAGGAGTGCTACTGGAGCCACACTCCCAGTCCTTTTGCTCTGGTTATTTTGGAGATGGGGTCTCACAAACTATTTGCCTGGGCTGGCTTTGAACCTCCACTGTCAAGACTGGAGGTATGGGTCAAGTGGTAAAGCATCTGCTTTGCAAGCATGAAGCCCTGAGTTCACATCTAGATTCCACAAAAAAAAAAAAAAAAAAAAAAAATTAAAAAAACCCCTCCTTCCTCCCAATCTCAACCTCCTAAGGTGTGATTACAGGCATGAGCCACAGGCACCAGCTACATATAATACATTTATTAATAGGGGAGGTGTCTCTTTCTAGAATTCTCTAGCTTGCATGTGTTTCTTCATTCCAACCAACTGGTGGTTTTAATCATGTTCAGTTACAAACTTCCTTGATTATATCTTACATTCTTAGGACCAGTAAATCTAAGACTCCCAGTCCTCCACTTCACTCAATGGATATATTACTGTCTAGGGATATTTTCCTTCAGCTCAGGAACTATTAATTTCTGTTGTCTGTATCAGGGTTTTGAAAGGGTCAAAGAAAGAAAAAGAAAGGGTAGTGTGTGTGACTATCTTTGTAACTTGGTGCAGGAAAGTGATGTACACGCTTAAGTGTTTTTAGTAACCATTATGTATGTGGAAGCCTTGGTTTTAACCATCAAAACACCTTTTCCTTTCTCATGTCTCCTAATCTGCTCCCGATTCAAATGTAGAGAGTGGAGGTGGGGATATGGCCATGTTGGAGCCCATGGTTTCCTGACAAGAGAAGAGGATTGGGCTGAAGTCTGGAGATGGGGGTTGAGACCTGCCCATATTTATGATGAGGGACAGAAGAGAGGTCCAAAAGGGATGGAGAGGATGAGGCTAGAGAGCAAGCAACAGTAGCAGGACAGAAGGTTCCAGAAGCCAAGGTCTGTTCCATTTCCTGGTCCACAGGGTGATGCCTTTTGACTCAAAGCTTCAGGGAAGAAACGAGCATGTGGCCTGTCCAAGGCTCCTGTCCTGCCCAGGCAGACTATCCAACTTGAACTGCTGGATCTGCTCTTCAGCCCACCGCCCGTCCCAGTGGCCCCGTGATTGTCACTCAGGGCTCAGCTCTTGGACATACACAATCTCTGGGGCAGTATGTATGTCCGGGTTTGATTGGGAATCACAGTCCATCTGGTCTGCCAAGGGCAGAGGCATCAAGCCACACACCCAGGGAGTCAGTTGGTCCCAGGCTCTTCCAGATACTCTTCCATGCTGAAGGCAGAGATCCCCTCCCCTAACCCAGAATGGTGCCAACCCGTCTGTATCTTCCCTATCAGGAGGCAGGGGGCAGTGCTGGGAGGTCTGGGTGGGTGGGACACACACTGAAGAACTCCTAGTCCTTTCGGGAAATATTGGTGGACAAAATCCAGCCAGAAGACAATGTCTCCTCAGCATGGAGATGAGAGTGAGAGCCTGGGTCCTCAGGACCTGTGCCATTCGGTGTGGGTGCCTGGAGATGTTGGTGATAGAGCACAATGTGAGTGTCGTGAACAAGGATCATGTAGAAAATAATTTTTTAACAAAGAAGTTAACTCAGGAAAGGTTGGAATGTCCTGATATTCATAAGCAATATCCGTGTTGATTAATACCAAAAAGGTTACTTGAAACCTTGGCTTTCAGGGCCTGAGGATGGAGCTCAGTGGCAGTTTCCTTGCTTAGCAGTGTTTTCTGCTGGGATCCAGCCACTGGGCAGCCATCAAGCCTGAGAGAAGAAAGGAGGCTTGGGCATCCTGGGGGAGCTGGCAGGAGGGGTGAGGCATCCTGGAGCTAGGCCTAGGAGGCAGGGTCAAACATAACCAATCTTAGGGGGGGTCTCCACCTGCCCAGAGGTCATCTACCCAACAGGAACAGGAGTGCAGCACTTCTGCTCTGACTGTGTTTACTAGTGCCTGAGTTCACTGAGATAGAATGCACTTGTGAGCATTTTATAGGCAGGCAGCAAGGATCGGGACCTAAGGTGGGTGGAGTCTCTACTGCATGCACCCCACTTGCAGCGCCCTCAGAGTCCCCGCTGCCCTGGGTTCTATACTGCAGGGGCCATGGGACTCACTGGCCAAAGCCCTGAAGGACAGTCTGCTTCCAAGGGAGGGAAGGGACTAAGGCCAGGCTGTCCTGGGCAACAACTACTCCCTAACTCCCTATGCTGCCTCCCCTAGCAGAGGCACAAACAAGGCCTGGGTTTCAGGTGGCTCCTTCCTATCTCAGGTCTTCATCCTCTCAGTACCTCTGCAGTCACTCTTGAGACTATAAGCCAGGGAGGGGAGAACTGATCCAGTGCATGGCCACCCACAGAACTGTCCTTCAGGCCCTGTAGGGAGACTCAGGACTTCTTGGCTTCCCAGGGGCCCATGGCCAGAGCTCCCACTGCCCCTCTCAGGGCAAGGGCAGCAGGCAGGGGAAGTCTTAGGAAACCTACTTGGTTATCAGCGGTTGTTTTTCCAGACCAACGGGGCCACGGCTGTGAGGCCCCAAGAGAGAGTCCAGCTGTTCTGATGGCCCAGGTCAGGCAGCTCTGGGGAAGGGCCAGGTGAGGACTGGTGGGGAAGGGGTCCTGTGGTTGTCAGGTTGCAGCCAAGTCTCAAAGGGCCCAGAATCCTGGAATTCACAGCCTACTTCTAGAAAAGGCCACGCACACAGTAAGTGTTCATTGTATGTTTAATGATTTTTTCTTGTTGAAAAGTTTATCTTGTTCATATAAACTCTGAAATGTATGCAGTGCGTTGCTGCACGTATTCAGGTGAAGGCAGCCTGCCCCTCTGCCAGTGCCTGGACAGGAGTCATGTCATTTCATTTTGTTCTGGTTCCTCTTCTCCTAGAAGAAAGCGGTGGGGTCAGTAGGGCCTGGAGAGAAAGCCTAGGAACGGAGCAGGATGCCGAGGGGTCTCAGAACCATGGAGGGGCCCCACTCTTTCCCCGGCCCTTCCCAGAGCCGTGGCAGCCTTTCCCAGGGCCTCTCCTTACTCTTGCAAACGGTGACCCACAGTGCCACCCCTGCCCAGGCCCTGCTCAGGTGCCACCTGGTGAGAGACTGCCAGTCCTGACCTGTTTCACTACATAATAGGTGATGCCACCGATGACAACGACAACCACCAAGCCCGCAATAAGCCATGCCACAGGTCCAGAAAATGTTATACTTAGAGCCTCTTTTGAAATCACCTGGAGGGAAGAAGAATGGGCCAGGTGACTCCAGTGACCCCAGGCCCATCCCACAGATGGTGGCCGTGAAGGGGACTACAGGCCAAGGTCCTGTCTGACACTGGAGCAGGGACCAGAGAAAAACACAGTGACCCTGGAGACAGCCAGGTCCTACCAAGCTCCTGGGAAAGAACAGGCTCCAAACCAGACCTCAGCTGCTCCTCACTCTGTAGTGACCAGCTTGGCCCTAGTGACTTAGCCCCTCTGAGTCCAGCCTCCTACAGGTCCTGGGAACCCCACGCTCCACCCCTGGGCTGGTGGGAACTGCATGGACACTCATAGCGGCACTTGCAGGTGAGATCTCTCACTGTGAGAGCTGGCATGCCACAAAGGGGTTGTAGGCTCTCTGACTCCCCAACATGGCTGTACCTTCTGCTGAGAACCCCCAGCAGAAGGAAGGGTCTATAGGATTCTCTGGGTCCCCTTAGAGTTCCAGACCTGTGACAAAGGACACCCTATCTCAGGCATCCTTGGGTCTCACCCCATAGTCACTACCTCCACTCATATAGGCCAAAGTGTCTTCAATCATCTGAGCCCACCCAACCAGCTGAAGAGGTGACCAGGGTCCTGCTGCTGTGCACAAGTGTGGGCATTGCCCTGCTGGCTTCTGAGAGGGCATTTATTCTCACCACTATGATGGTCGAGGTTTCTACCATCTTCTTGGCAAGAAAGAATTCAGCCCTGCGGGAAGGAAGGCCCATGTCATCTTCAACCCTAGCCCTGGCACCTTTGGGGCCCTGGAGATCCAGCCCATGGCAGGTCACAACCTGCCCCTTCTCAGCACCCACGCTGTCCCCACACCTTCAGGGGCCAATGTACAAGAGGCAGAGTGAGCTGCCCAGGAGTTCATGGGCTGCCCCAGGTTGCTCTTCCTATGTCCATGGACACAAGGGTTGCCCCTCGGGTCTGAGGTAATATGCGCAAAAGTCCCTCAGGATCAAGTTTCAGTGCCACTGCCGCCCATGGGCCCCCAGCCTCACCCAGGCCCCTTCTCAGCCCCAGAGCCTCCTCTTCCCAGCCACCCTGGAAGTGCACAAGGGTGGTCACCAATCTGCTCTTTGCCTGTCCCGCCCTAAATAACCTTGCTCTCTGCTCCAACTGTGACTTCCTGCTGGGTTGACATGGGAAGCAGCTGCAGAACGTTGGCACAGAGTCACCAGGAGTTTCCAGCTGCCAGTGAGCAGGTCAGAGGCCAACTCAGCTCATGCTCCATTCCGGCTACAGCCCTGGCCCACTACTCTCCCTGCAGCCCATGGGATGGTGACCACTTTCTTGGTGTCAGCCCCTGTGGCCTCCTCACCTCCTGGTGTCTCCTCCCCTGACTCTCCTTGGAAGCAGTCTGTCCTCTGGGAGGGCTGCCCTTTGCTCATCCCTCATGGCTCCTCCTCAGTCCCCCAGCTTCCCCCACACTGAGCACCCCAGAACTGGCCCCTGACCCCTCTCCTCTGTTCTCTGGATCCTCAGAGAATATTCTCTGCCACTCCCTCTCTGTCTCCAGCTGATTTTCTGCGCTGCCCGGGCTTCTGACCCCTCCCTCCCCCCACCAATGCTCCCTCAGAACCCCAGGCATCCATGGGTTCTGATGGGGGCTGTCATTGGGCAGGGGCAGTGAGGCAGGGGGCGGGGCCACCAAGAGGTATGTATGGGACAGCCAAGCTTTCAACAGTCTCTCTGCCCCTCCCTTCCCAGTACCCCTTTTTCAGCAGCCCAAATCTCATGACACCCTGTGGCCTTACCTGCTCTTACCCTGTGGCTCCTGTGATTCTTACCTACTTCACCTGGATCACTCCTTTGCTGAGAAGCCCCTCCAGCCTGCACATCCCTCCCCAGACCAATGCCCTGTCCCCTCTGGACAATGAGCCATCTGTAAGATCCCCACACTGGGGAGACAGTCCTCCCTTCCTGACAGCTTCCCCACCCTCACCTTGACAGGAGGTGAGTTCTGATCAGTTGCAAAGGGTTCTCAGTCTGGTGCCAGGGGCCAGAAATGCAACTGGAGTGGCTGCCTCTACCCCACCCATTTCCCTCTTCTGCAGATAGTTTCTCTGAAGACACGTGACATGGCTCAGCTCTGAGTTTACTTGATTCATTTAGCTCATTTGAATAAAGTTGAGTTCTGAAACAAAAGCGGTTCAACTGCTCCTGGCTTCTCAGTAAAGGACCCCTCTCGGAACCTCTTGGAGGCTGAGGCAGAGAACTACAGGCAGAAGGACACAGATGAAGGCCCAGAGCCTGGGGCAGTGCCAGGTGTGGTGGACTGTGAGCTCCAAGACCCCCATTTGTTACCACCCAGAGCAGGTTTAAGAGGTCCTCGAGCTTGCTGTGTAAACAGCCCCCACCATGGGCCCTGCAGCCAGCCTATTTGTGTATCCCCGGGCTTCCCTTTGGCCAGAAGAGCATGCCACTTGGTTCTCACAACTGGGATTGAACAGTCCTGGAACGCTTCCTGGAGGAGGTGGGACTTGATCCTGGGAAGGCAGTGGCTGAGGCACATTTTGCTTTAAGGTCCTAGGGGACTACCAGTGTGAGGCCAGAGTCTGGTCCCCAGGGGTCCAGGGCAGGAGTTCCCACTGCCCCTTACAAATCCAAGTTAGCAGGAAGGGTAAGCCTCAGGGAACCCATCAGGCTAGATGTTCAAGGAGGCCCAGGAACAGGATTGGGCCAGAACATCAGAGCCCCATTTGGCCTTGGAGAGGCCACAGTGTGAGACTGGGTAGGCCATAGAGGGAACCTGCCAGGCAAGGTTCCAAAGAAGTTGCCCCTGAGCTCCCTCCCCTACTGCTCACTTGACTCCAGTCCTGGGAGGTCTCTTCAGGGCCTCTCACCTGCAGCGCCGGGCCAGGTGCAGTCACTTCCACTCCTGCACTGTGCCCAGAGCCTGGCCTGGTGCTGGCTACACTGCCTGATGTGCAGTACCACACTGCCCTTGGCAGTTTTCTCCCAGCCTGTGTGCGGGGCTGCCTCCCCGCTGGAGCAATATGTAGAGCTGGGTGAGTGGGGTGGAGGGATGGCAGTGTGGACCTTACTGACACATCGCAGGAGGGAGTTTGTGTACTGGGACCATAGCTGGGACTGGGGACAACACAAGGAAAACCTCCCCACAGCGAGCTAAGCCCGCTGATTCCTAATCCTGAAAGTGAGGCTGTTCGGGGCAGGGCAGGACGTGTGCCAAGTGTCCTTGCTTAGGGGAAGCCAGCTTAACAAGACCCTGACTCATGAGCCAAGGTCGTAAGAGGGTTCAACATTGGTGAGGTGACATGCGGGCTGGGCTGTTGCTGAGCTTAAGCAGGAAGTGGTTGGAGCCCTGGAGACTGAACTACCATCAGGACATCCCTTCTCATCCCCTTCTCTAGGTACCCGGCTCTGAGAAGAAGGCAGCCTGCCGGCCAGGGGACACTGGAGAGGAGGTCCCCTCCAATGCATGCTTCTTTCATAACCAAGTCACCTCCTTTCCTACAAACAGGCATACAGGTTCCTCCAATTTTTGTCCATGTCACAAAGCCTTTGCAGAGTGGGTCTGAGGCTCTCCATTGACTCTTAGGGCGCTTCACTGAAATTTTCTAAATTTATTATTTTTAATTTTTAAGGTATGGAATTTTGGTTGGCTGATCTTTTACTGTTACTGCAGTTAGTCTTGAGAAAGTAAGAGATGCTCAAACCGCTTTAGCTGGAAAGCACTGACTCCTTTTTGGGCCACAAATTAACTAATAGCAAGGGAAAAGCATGGTGTCTCGTCTCCATTTTGCATCTGTCTCTGCTCTAAGCCATTCTCTCTGCAGTCACTTTGCAATCACTTTGGATTCCAAGAAAGATAGATGATAATATCTTCAGGGCAAGGGACAGAAACTATCCCCATCAGTACACCTTCCTTAGGAGGAACAAGGTTCAAAACCAGCCCAGGGAAATAGTTCGCAATACCGTATCTTGAAAAAACTATTCATAAAAAAGGGTTGGTGGAGTGAGTTCAAACTTTAGTACTGCCACAAGGGAGAGAAAGAGAGAGAGAGAGAGAGGGAGAGAGAGAGAGAGAGAGAGAGAGAGAGAGAGAGAGAGAGAGAGAGAGAGAGAGAGAGAGAGAGAGAGAGGGAGAGAGAGAGAGAGAGAGAGAGAGAGAGAGAGAGAGAGAGAGAGAGAGAGAGGGAGAGAACTGGTCTGTGCAGAGATAGCAGAGATCAGAGGTCATCACTGTATTACCCAACAGAAACAGGAGTCCAGCACTTCTGATCTTGACTGTATTTACTAGTGCCTGAGTTCACTGAGATAAGGTGCACTTGTGAGCAATTTATGGGTGATAGTCTACAAATTTATATATAGCCAGCCCCTAGGCTCAGGACCTTGAATGGGTGGAGTCTTTACTGCCTGCACCCCACTTGCAGCGCCCTCAGAGTCCCCGCTGCCCTGGGTTCTGTACTGCAGGGGCCATGGGACTCATTGGCCAAAGTCCTAAAGGACAGACTGCCTCCAAGGAAGGGAAAGGACCAAGGCCAGGCTATACTGGGCAATTGCTCCCTAACTCCCTATGCTGCCTCCCCTAGCAGGGACAGGAACAAGGCCTGGGTTTCAGGTGGCTCCTTCCTATCTCAGGACTTCGTCCTCTCAGTACCTCTGCAGTCACTCTTGAGACTATAAGCCAGGGAGGGGGAGAACTGATCCAGTGCATGGCCACCCACAGAACTGTCCTTCAGGCCCTGTAGGGAGACTCAGGACTTCTTGGCTTCCCAGGGGCCCATGGCCAGAGCTCCCACTGCCCCTCTCAGGGCAAGGGCAGCAGGCAGGGGAAGTCTTAGGAAACCTACTTGGTTATCAGCGGTTGTTTTTCCAGACCAACGGGGCCACGGCTGTGAGGCCCCAAGAGAGAGTCCAGCTGTTCTGATGGCCCAGGTCAGGCAGCTCTGGGGAAGGGCCAGGTGAGGACTGGTGGGGGAGGGGCCCTGTGATGGTGAGGTTGCAGCCAAGTCTCAAAGGGCCCAGAATCCTGGAATTCACAGCCTACTTCTAGAAAAGGCCACACACACAGTAAGTGTTCATTGTATGTTTAATGAATTTTTTGTTCAAACATTTATCTTATTCATCTTAAAAACTGAATATTAAAATTGAATATTAAAAATTGAAATGTGTGTTGTCCCACAGATTCTTTTGTTGTTGCTGTTGGTACTTGAACTCAGACCTTTATGCTTACTAGGGTTCCTAGGCTTGCTAGAGTTGCTAGGCAGACATTCTACCATTTGAGCCACTCTGTGCAGTCCTGTTTTAGTACTGGGTTTTTTGAGATAGGGTCATGAGAATTATTTTCCTTGGGCTGGCTTCGAACCTCGATCTCCCGATCTGAGTAGCTAAGATTACAGACGTGAGCCACCGGTACCTGGCTTGCCTCACATATTCTTTTGAAGGGGTCCTCCTCCTCTGCCAGTTCCTGGACAGGATGACGGGTTTTTTGTTTTGTTTTTTTTTCTTACAGTACTGGGGTTTTAACTCACGGCTTCACGCTTGCTAGGCAGGCACTCTACTGCTTAAGCCACTCTTTTTGTTGGAAATTTTCAAGATGGGGTCTCGTGAACCATTTGCCTGGGCTGGCTTTGAATCTCCACCCTACTGATCTCTGCTTCTTGAGTAGCTGGGATTACGAACATAAGCCACCTGTGCACAGCTCTGGACAGGATTCTTGTCATTTTGTTTTATTCTGGTTTATCTTTGCCTGGAAGAAAAGGGTGTGGCCAGGAGGGCCTGGAGAGAAAGAGGGATGGATAGGGATGGTGGGGAGGAGGCTCCAGGACCACGGAAGACTCCACTCCTTTCCCCAAACTCAACTGGAGCCATGGCAGCCTTTCCCAGGACTGCTCCTTACTCATGCACATCGTGGCTCCCAGTGCCTCCTGATTTCAGCCTCCGAAGCAGTTGAGGATTATACGTGTGAACCACCAGGGTTGGGTCCCAATGCTTACTATTTTATTTTTAGAACAGAAATAACATTAAAATATGTTTTCAGAGTATCAAGGCTCCACTATTTTGTTTCTACTCCCTCCTTTGCTGTATGGCATATCACTGCATACCTCCAGAACCAAAAGAGAAACCAGAATCTACATATCAGGGGTAGGCACGATGGTGCATGACTGTAATCCCAGTTACTTGGCAAGGTGAGATGGAAGGATCACCAATCATGGACTCTATCTGAAAATCAGACTAAAGACAGAAGGATTCGGCCATGGTTCAGGAGTTAGAGTGTTTACCTGGTGTGTCCTATGCCCTGAGTTCAATCCCAGTGCTGCAAAAAGAAAGAAAGAAAGAAAGAAAAGAAAGTCTCCATTTATTCCCCTCCCCTCCTGGCCAGAGTGTCCAGCTTGGAGGGCATCAGTAAACGTCCACTGCAAGGTGGACGCTCTGCCCTCAGGACTCAGGGTCCTGGCACCTGCTCAGGGCTGCGTAGAGAATCCAGAAAAGCTGAAGAAATTAGCTGTACGTGACACTCAGTCTCACACCCCACTAAGCCGAGACCGTACTGTGCAGTGGTCCATTCTTGTGTCTCTATGGGGAAGGGGGACTTTACTGTTTGCCATTTGCTGCTGAGGCATGACTCTGGATAGGACCGAAGACAGGATCTTTGTGCTCTTCACAAACCCCTTCCTAGGGCCAGGCCCCGTGCTTAGGTGCCAGCACTGTCACCAAGACAAAGACACAGCCCTGCCTTGAGCACGCCCAAGTGAGTGGGACAGGGAAACCATCCTATCGAGTGGGTAGGTAGATGAAGATGCATTAGGTGCAGTGAGATTGCCCACTTCCTCTCCCCAGCTGCCGGGAATCCCCAACCTTCCTTCCATGAGAAAGCTGTGCCTCCCAGGCACTCACCTGGGGGTGCTCTGTTGCCGGGATGTGGGTCTGAGGGGATGTGATGAAGGCACCACAGGCTGTGAGGTAAAAATGCTGCAAGAAGAAGGCCCAGCTGTGGGGCGGGGCAATGCTGCAGAGGCCATCACCATTTCCTGCTGTAACCAAGCAGGTGAGCTGTCAAGCACCTG